ACCTTCCACATACTCTCTTGTTGAGGAATACAACATCACTCCGGTCCCATTGCCCAATGGTTCATACAGGCTGTGCTTTTTAGACACGTTGTCTTACTGTTGACATGGAAACGAAGACGGAGACAAACACTAAACCTTATGTGGTGTAAAGACACAACGCAAGACATCCCAACAAACTAGCAGGTCATGTACACCGCCCATAACAGTCATACTCTCAACAACACATTCACAAAGCCTCAATATAGAGAGAGAGAAGAAGAAGTGAAGGCATGGGGTAGGAAAGTGGAGGAGGAGGTGGGGAGAGAGCAGGAGGAGGAGAGAGGCTGGGGAGGAGGAGAGAAGAGAGGAGCGAGAAGAGGTGGGAAGAGGCAGAGGTGGAGGTGGAGCAGGAGGTGGGTTAGAGAGGAGGAGGAGGAGGAGGAGGAGGAGGAGGAGAGGGGAGGAGAGAGATGGAAGAGGAAGGAGGAGGGGGAGCAGGATGAGGGGTAGAGGATGAGGTGGGGCAGGAGGTGGGTTAGAGAGGAAGAGGAGGAGGTGGAAGAGGAGGTGGGTTAGAGAGGTGGAGGAGGAGGAGGAGGAGGAGGAGGAGGAGGAGGAGGAGGAGAGAGGTGGAAGAGGAAGGAGGAGGGGGAGCAGGTTGAGGGGTAGAGGAGGAGGTGGGTTAAAGAGGAAGAGGAGGAGGTTGAAGAGGAGGTGGGTTAGAGAGGTGGAGGAGGTGGCAGAGGAGGAGGAAGATGAGATGGGAGGAGAGAGATGGAAGAGGAAGGAGGAGGGGGAGCAGGATGAGGGGTAGAGGAGGAGGTGGGGCAGGAGGTGGGTTAGAGAGGAAGAGGAGGAGGTGGAAGAGGAGGTGGGTTAGAGAGGAGGAGGAGGAGGAGGAGGAGGAAGGAGGAAGGGGAGCAGGATGAGGGGTAGAGGAGGAGGTGGGTTAGAGAGGAAGAAGAGGAGGTTGAAGAGGAGGTGGGTTAGAGCGGTGGAGGAGGTGGCAGAGGAGGAGGAAGATGAGAGGGGAGGAGAGAGATGGAAGAGAAGGAGGAGGGGGAGCAGGATGAGAGGTAGAGGAGGAGGTGGGGCAGGAGGTGGGTTAGAGAGGAAGAGGAGGAGGTGGAAGAGGAGGTGGGTTAGAGAGGAGGAGGAGGAGGAGGAGGAGGAGGAGGAGGAGGAGGAGGAGGAGGAGGAGGAGGAGAGAGGTGGAAGAAGAAGGAGGAGTTGGGTTAGAGAGGTGGAGGAGGTGGCAGAGGAGGAGGACGAGGAGAGGGGAGGGGAGAGGCGGAAGAGGAAGGAGGAGGTGGAGCAGGAGGAGGGGTAGAGGAGGAGGAGGAGGTGGGGTAGAGTGGCGGAGGAGGTGGAGGAAGAGAAGGAGGAGGGAGGAGGAGAGAGGTGGAGGAGGTGAGGTAGAGAGGAGGAGGAGGAGGAGGAGGAGGAGGAGGAGGAGGAGGAGGAGGAGGAGGGCTATGTCCATGTGAACCAGCCCAAACAAAGCCTCCCTGTTCGTAGGGCCAGACAACCCCCCACCCCTCTAGGCAAGATAAATAAATAAATACAAATGGGCCAGAGAGTCCCGGTCCGCCCCCTGAAAGGAGCAAGGAGAGTGTGAGTGACAGACAATTGAAAAGACAAATTGTTACATTGTCTTTGGGTGAGGGGGGCCATGGGGGGGATGCGCAAGGTAATTACCAGGAGACGTGAACAGTGGGGTCAAAGGTCGCGCGATGTCCCTGACCCCCAGGTTTTGGGGTTTTTTTTATTTTGGGGAGAGGATGGGTGGAGGAGGAGGTGCGGGGGGGGGGGCCTCATGAGGGAAAGAAAGAAGAGTCTGAATCAGGCCTAAACGTCCTCTTTCTCAATCTGGCTCTCTCTTTCTCCCTCACTTTCTTTCTTCATTCTGATTCTCTTATTCTCATTCTCTCACTTACCCTCATTCTATATCGCCCCAGCCCCTCGTCCTCCCTCCTTCTTCGTTTTTGTTGCTGTTGAATACCCCTTCCTTGGAAGAAAAAAAAGTCCCCCCCCCCCCCCAGAAGACACCCCAGCTGGTTGAGAATCGCTGACGAGGCGTATGTCTGGCGGAGGAGCTATTCAACCATGTTTTATTTAATTGCTTTTCCACTCCTCTGCGCCACGGCTCCCGGCCACCGGTTCTGACGGACAGTTCTGGAAGGCCGAGGGGAAGGCGCTGTTATTTTGACAGTCAGCCAAGGAGACAGCGCTGACCCGACCCGCTCGCACTCGGGCGGCTTTCCCATGGCGCTGAAGATGGCTGGGAACAGGACGCTGGGGAAGAGCTCCCCACGTTTTTGTTTTTTTTTCTTCTTTAGGCGACTCCTGTTGTTGGGGTGGGGGGTTTGGTGGTCTTAGCCACGGGAAGCTAAATGGCTGGCTAGCAGGGTTTTTGGCCCCAGAGCTATCATTAGCAATGTGAGTGAAGCGGTATGTAGAAGTGCATGGGAAGTATCGCCAAGGAGGGCTTCCTTAAAATTGCATAACAGTCGATGTTAAATGGTTTTGTCACTCCCAAGCCGAGCTGATGCAAGCGGTGGATTTCCCTAATTGACATGCTTAAGAAATGCAAACAAATGCTAATGTGGCTAGCTCGGTGATAACTAGCAACGACCCCTAATGAGCCCTGTTAGCATAGAGAACGGTTTTACTGCAGAAGCAAATCAATGTTTTTTTACTCTATAATGACGGCTCCTATTGGCTCCTGCTCTCTGCATTCAATCATGATCGTAAATCAGAATGCATAAACATATCAACGACGAGGATGAGAATTTACTGCCTGTGTGTGTGTGTGTATGTGTGCAGACTTCTTCACGCAGCAGAATGGTGCAACATTGATAATCTCCCAAACAATGGTTAAACTCTGGGCCGCATTTCAAGGCCTCGCTTAAAACAAAATCATTCAAAGTGCTATCGAACATGATGATTTCGACAGGTTATACGGTAGTCACTGTGATGTGTGGGCTGTTCGGTCATTTAATGACACGAGTCGCGGTGGGAGGACACGCAGCCCAGAGGAAAAAATACACAATCATTCCCATGGTATTGTTGACCGGTTGCAGTCAGCGGTGCATTGGGGGGTGAGTGGGACAAGATTGCCTATTTCAGCAAATGAAACCCAATGCGGTGCTTTGATCCGGCCATTTTGTCTGTGCGAACGCGCCAATTCTGATTTTGTATATATAAATATATCGGGGGCCTTGACTGTGTACAACTCAGGTCTTCCTGTTGAACTCTGATTGAAGTCGCTGTGGGAGAAAGAGGGAAAAGCAGAAGTTGGACGGGTTCCCGTCTGTTTGGGCCCTGAGATAAGCCTAGTTTAACTTACTGGCTCACTGAGTTCTCTGGCCAGAGCAGCCATGATGATGATGCTCTTTAATATCCGTTCTCTGCTTCACTGAGATATCCTTCTCTTTGACAAATGATCTCCTCACTGCCAGCACGTTGGAGGAGCAAGGAGGAGGAGGAGGAGGAGGAGGAGGGGCAGACCCAGGATGAGCAGGAGGAGTAATGGAGAGTTTTTATAATGTTTTGTTTGGGGGTGGGGGGTTTGCATTTGAAAGAGCCGTCGGCCATTCACACTGACTATTGACCACAGCATGAGAGTAAGAGTGGAACTATGTGAGAGAGAGACAGACAGAGAGAGAGAGAGACAGAGAGAGAGAGAGAGAGAGAGACAGAGCAGACGGGGAAAGGGAGAAAGGGGCAAGAGACAGAAAGCACGAGAGAGAGAGAGAAAGAGAGAGAGAGAGAGAGAGAGAGAGAGTGCACCTGGGTTTGTTATAGTTTGTTATAATTTGTTACGACGTTGAAGCAGGATTAGCTGAGCTTGATGATACTCTGGACATCGGTGGCTCTTAGCTAGGGGGAGTGGGGGGGGGTTGCTGAGCTGGGTGGTGGTGAGGTGGTGGGGAGGAGGAGGGGTCTGGCTGGAGCAGTGGTGGTTAAGGCTGACTTTGGGGCCGAGCCTCCATTAATTGTGATGTTTATGCATGTTAATGTCAGCGCACTGTGTGAGCCCTGCTTTGTGTCAAACAAGCAAAGAGGAGTGCCTGAGGGCCTGGCTGAGTGGTGGTGCATGTGTGTGTGTGCATGCCTGTGTGTGTGTGTGTGTGTGCATGCCTGTGTGTGTGTGTGTGTGTGTGCGTGCCTGTGTGTGTGTCTGTCTGTCTGTGCATGTGTGTGTGTGTGAGACCGTCCCGATCTATCAAGTTCACATTCTGTTTCATTCTACAGATGGGTCTGTCCTCGATCCCATTGAAAGCCTTTTCCAAAAATAAAACAAAAGATCGGACCAATCAGCGCTCACAGAAGGGAGTTTCAGTTCATGACGACCAAGAAGCGCCACCGTCTGTCGAATTAAAAAGTCTGGAAAAAAGGGTTGAAAACGACAGAGCAATCAAAACAGTTTTCATCAGAAATAGACTGAATTACGATGCTAAAAGATTAACAGAAAGACAGTGTTTTAGCTTTACTTCCAGGGACAAACTGGAACCAAAAACCTTGTTTGACCCAGACCGGCCCATAACAGGCCGCTCTCCCACAGAACCCAACCCCACCCCAGATTGCGCTCTGCACGTTTCTAACGCAGTCGAGGGCCGTGCATCGTACTGATGACGATTCAATTATTGAACAATAAAAAACATAATATTGTCCACTGGCCGGTTCGGCCGGGAAGGGAGCAGCCGTTCGGGAATCATCCGAATCACCCGATGGCCGGTCCATCTCTGTTTACTTCCAACCGGATTTGGCAAGAGCGAAGGAAGCAAGAGCATCACTCTGATTGGCAATTGGAATTTTTTGAACAAAGGCCGCGGCCATATGTGGAAATCAATTGCTGCCCAGCCAAGGCCGAACTGATATTCATTGCAAAACGCAACCTTGAGTATCTGGATGGTCTCACGAGGCTAAGAGGTCACCAGGATGAGATAAACATCTCCCTCACAACGTGCAGGTCAGTAAATAGCTGGAGCTCAATATCCATCTTAACTGTAACACACAGGGGTGTAGCTCAGTGGTGGTAGAGCGCCTGTAAGGCCCCCGGGTTCAATCCCCGGCCTCTCCAAGATGTCATCTAAAGAGCATCACAGCTCGTAGACCATTTTGTTCTACGATCCTCATCGGTCTGAATCCTGCAGCTACTCGGAACTCTGTCCAGTTATTTTATTAGCTCATTTCTTAACGCTGGGTTATTTGGTCGACCATGTTACCGTCTCCTACCAATGTCTCCTCTATCATGATATTGGTCAGGTTACAAGACACACAGATGGAAGCGTTTCATCGCGACAGAAAGCGTAACGGAGCACTGCAAATGAACCCAAAGCCGACGTCAACTCCTCAAACGCAACATCTCCAGCGTGTGAACAGGGAATGTGTTTCGGAGTGTATAATAAGGAGTCAGCATGCGAAATTGTGTGTGTAACCAGATGGGATGCAATGACTTCCAGACATCCAGACTTTTGTCACCCTTGTCCACGAGTCGCTCAGTCACAACAAGAAGACACAGTGTTCCCTGTGACGATGTCTTCTCATGTCTGCCAGGACTCTGGTGGTTTTGGGGAGGAGGACGATGATCTTGTTGGTCTGCAACTGTGCGATGTCTCCATACTACGCACATTATAATAAAATCCTCTGTCATAGGACTGGGCGATATGGCCAAAAGGTAATTTAATTTCTGGATAACGATATATATCGCGATATAGCATGTTTTCTGGTCATTCAATAAATAATAAGTCTATATAAAATGGTAATGGTAAAACCTGTTTTTGTATACTCCTGTGTGAATACTACTTACAATATCTACTACTTACAATATCTAAATTCTAAGACGATATCTAGTCTCATATCACGATATCGATATAATATCAATATATTGCCCAGCCCTACTCCGTCATCTAATCCCCTCTACAGATCTGGGTGCTGAAAGGAAGTGTCACCGAGCGTCAGAGAGGCCGTTTATTAATTGGTTGGTGTTAAACGCCATATTCACTTCAACTCATTCACTTTCACAACTAATTCCTCTGGAAGATATCTGTCACCACGGTCACCTTACTGTCACCAGTAAAATAAATTAGCCACTCTTCACAGGGGTTATGATGTCACAACTGGCACTTCAGAAATAACCATTCATCTTCAACCTAAGATCCAAACCAGCCAGCAGAGCTTGTTAGTAGAAATAGATACAATATCATATTTTTCAAAATGGCCTCTTTGATTTTAGGTGGAGAAGGATTCTGGGAATACATGCATTTTTGATCATGACCTTTTCTTTTCTTGTTCACAAACATAATTATAATCATATCGGTAATATATCAAATTCACCCCAAACTAATAAATAAACGCCCTTTGTTAATGAGCTATGTCGCTCATCGGTCATTCTTACTGCTGCAGAATTTTTAAGAACAAACACACTTGATTGAGCCGGGTCCACAACGAGACTGATGCTGACCACAAGTGTGGACAAAGCCACTTGATAAAAGCGAAGTGGTTTATTTTGCATTCGGTGCCGTGTGGTCTTGCAGGAACAGCGATGTTCACAGATATGTAATGCAGGACACATGTGCAACAGCAGGTTTTTCCCCCTCTGTGTGCTTGCTTTGGCCAGAGTCTGAGCTGGGGAGAGAGAGGGGGGAACCAGAGTTTGTTATGCTGTTGTTGTCTTGTTGTTCAAATTCGTCTTGATGCAAATCAATTTCTGGGCTGGGAGTGGGGAGCAACGCCACTTGGCCGGTGGATGGAGGGACGGATGACAGGAGAACGTCATTTCTGCTTTTACCATCGAACTGTAGTGTGATGGACCGTAAGGGAGGCCGGTTGAATGTGATCCACACGGTCCCACTGATCTCTCATGAATCTGGGTGTTGCCACATAAAGCTACATTCCTCTCTGGTTTTACAATCATGGCGGCTTGCAAAGTTTACTTGTGTATGTGTGGCGGGGTATGAAAAAATGGAGCCGACAACGCCACCTAGGGTGGTTGTTACCTAGGAATTCACCAATACACTCCAACTTTGCAGTTGGCAACACAGGTCCAAAGCATTGAGGGCGGAGACGTGAATAAATAAATATATCTTTTATTTATGGTACAAATGACACATGAAATTAAAAAGAGGTTAAGTAATCAGACCCAGAGGCAATCAGTTGGAGAAAGGTATACTGGGGTATGGTGAGGGTGGCCCGAAATCAACTGGACAAATAATAATGGTAAATAACGATAATAAGTCACTCCCTCAGTACCATATACCGGATAGGCTGCCAACACTGACGGACAGCAGAAAGAGAGGAGGTATCTCACACCCAAACGTAGACACACTCACTTCAAGCCCGTAGTCACTGCACACCAGGAGTCACTGCACACTAGTCACTGCACACTAGGTTACGGCACTGCACACCAATACACACCAAATAGAGAGGAATGGTGAGGAAGACCCACCACCTAGAGTCTGCAAACCACCCGTGTCAGCAAACAGTTTCCTGTCATGGAGAGAGAGAGAGAGAGATCAACAATCGTCCAATTGAGGGCGGAGAGCCACCCAATGATTTGCTAGCAGTGATATACTGGGATGCTAGGCTAATAAAGCCAGGGGAATAGTGGGGGAGGCATACAAATGCATGCGCACACATACACACACAGTTGTAATGGGGGTGAGTGGAACAAGCAGAAAATAAACGTTTACAATGCTTGGAAGGTAGCCTACCAGCCTGCTAGGCTACCAGCAGGAACACAGTAAGTCAACTGATACACAAAAAATAATAGGGAACCAGAAAGAAACAAAAATGACACAGTTTAACCACAGCAAATAAGGATAGCAACCTTGCTATGGCGGCTAACAGCTCGTTGCTATTCAGCCTCAAAGGACAAGGCAATGAAACACTTAACAGGAAAACAACACGTGTTTTGCCGGAGACAAAAACAGCAGCCCTTTGTGATGGTGATGACCAGTCTTCTGATGGCCAAGCCCTTAATGCTCCGTGAGACCGGCAGTCTCTGCAAAGGTAAAAGTATTACAGTTACTCTATAATCCCCCCCCTATTGATTAGTAAAACTGTGTCTGTATTCGCGCATACCTACCAGGTTGCCTGATGCAGCTATCCCAACTGTAATTCAGCTAGATGGACCGACGGTTGTACCCACCACCTAAAATGCTGACAACCAAGCCGACCGATCACTATGAGTGAGCTAACAGCAGCTATATTGCACCAAAATAGCACAGCAACATTGACAAAAGAGCTTACCTTCCAGCCACACACACGAGCTCGCCCCGCAGGAGTGGAAATGAGAACCGGGAAGTATAAGCTCACTCTATAAGAGTAGCACTTCGTAGGTCATATACAAAGGCTCTGCCACTACGAGCCACACCACTGCAAGATAAAACATAAACTAAAAATCACGGCAATATTCTAACCTCCCAGAGATCACAATGGGAGATCAGATTACGTACCTCAATGGACGAGAGACAGCTCGCACAACCAACCTGTGCGCTGCACCGACACGGAATGACAAGTCCCTGGGAAGAGATCAACGTGTACTTCCAGGAAGCCGCTGCAATTCATTTATACACGTGACCCAAATCAACCCATTCATTCACGCTGCGTCTCTCCAGGCACGTGACTGACGTAGCCTGCTACAATCCGCCCCCATTTTTTATGTCGTCGCCCCGACGACCGCGCTACAGGAGGGCTAAAAAAAAATGGAACTGGTTCAGCTGTCAGGTACGATAGCCGGAACTTCAGTCGTGGCAATGGAGGGGCCAATACTGGCCTCGTCCACCAGGCCAACTGACCGGGGAAGGTGGTGCACATTCGAATGTTGCCCAGCTGTAGGACGAGCTGATCGACGGAGGACCACCTGGTTGGGACTTAGCTGAGCTTGAAATACTATGAACGGCACGGGGTCTGTGGTCGGGGAACACTCCGGAGTAGGGGCGGGATCCACTGCAGGCCCAGGCCCCACCTCGGGAGGATGCCCAAGGGTGCTTGGTCGGGGTAGTGTAGCGTGAGTCGCCGATGGAGAGGTACCTGGAACCAACAGGACCAGGTCATAATCTGCAGGCGGGCTCGCCTCATTAGTCAACTCTCGCGGTGGGGTTGGCGGAGGTGGCAGAGCAACCGGTGCAGTCGTGACCTGAGCTTTCAGCATCTCGCGATGCACTGTCCTAACCTTGCTCAATTCATCCACCGGGGCAATGGTATAAACCACTCCTTCTCCAGGAGGGGCCTTCACAATTTGGTGGACTACCGAGTTCCACAGATCTTGAATTTTGTGGCGGCCCCTAACCCCCAGGTCCCTGACATATACCAATTGCCCCTCCTGCAGAGGTAATGGCCGGACATGCTGGTCATGCCTCTGTTTGCGCCGGCTGGCTGCCGCCAGCAGTCTCTCACGAGCACCCTCAAAAGCCACCTGGAGCCGGGCCTGATGTTCTACCACCCAATCCTCTACCCTTCCGGCTACAGGCTCCCGAACGCGACCCAAGAGGAAATCAATGGGGAGCCTTGGCTCTTGCCCAAACATCAAAAAGAATGGGGACTCACCTGTGCCTTGATGGCACGTGGTGTTGTAACAGAACAGGACATGCGGCAGGCATGCAGCCCAGTCTCGCTTCCGTGAGGTTGGCAAGGTACGGAGCAGATTGTGGAGGGTTCTGTTAAAACGCTCGCACTGCCCGTTCCCTGCCGGGTGGTATGGGGTGGTGCGAGATTTGCCTACTCCATACAGGCCACATAGCTGTTGTAGTAGCAGACTCTCAAAGCTCCTGCCCTGATCCGAGTGGATGCGAGTGGGGACTCCAAACTTGAAGAACCACTCGTTCAGGAGGACATGCGCTACCGTAGCTGCCCTCTGATCTCGGGTGGGGACAGCCTGTGTAAATTTACTAAAAACGTCCGTCATGACTAGGACGTTTTCAAACCCACTTTGAGATGGTTCTAGCGTGGTGAAATCTATGGCCAGGATCTCGTTGGGCCTAGACGCAAGTAGATGCCCCATAAAACTATGAGACCCAGGCCTTCCGTCTTTTGCCACCTGACAACGTTCACACTCCTGACACCATTTCTTTACATCTG